CTGCCTTCTGGAAAGTCCAAGCTCCACTGGCCCTGAGGTCAGGGCCTCTGGGACAACTGTGTTTTAAGCACAACCCTTAACTCAGTATTGATGTTAATGCTTGCCCTGGCAGGTATGAGTCATGCTCAGATCTCCTCATGGCCCTAAAGCCTCCTGAGGCGTAACCCCTGTTCCAGGTTCCCTGCCAAGACCTGGAACACACCCACTTGTGTACATATTTGGTGCTTCACATCCCAGTTCTTAGCACCTGCCTGTGCCCAGTACCCAGTAGAGAAGCCTGTCACTGTGGAGATGGCGGGGTAGGCTGCCCTGGTGAGGCAGGTCTAGAGGAGGGCTCACCAAGATGTTTTCCTATGGAAAATGCAAAAAATTATGGAACTACACGACTCAGAGAATCCTGTGTCACTTGCACTTGTCAGCTTTCTCTCTCATGTGCATGGAGGCCCTGGGCAGCTAATCCACCATCTGAGCCTAAGCCCTTCCCACTCACTCCCCTACCACACACTGCATTGCCGGCTGCTTCCCCTTCATTTCTATCACTCATCTTCAAAATGTGTTAAAACTGACCTCATCCAGAAAATAGAATCTAATTTCTTACATATTTTAGTTGCTCCAAATTAATTTGAACATGGCTTTAACATATTACACACACGTGTGTGCACAGGACTCTGCTGCAAGGATGACTTCACCGTCAGCTGCAGACATGCAGGCGGCGCCCATACTCCAGGACTCTGGAGTACACAGACCCTGTCTTCTCTGCCAGTAATGGGAGGCCCCAGGGGTAGTGGCACTGCTCCCAGGGAGCACACAGGCACTTGAGAGAATCTCTGTTGCCTTCTGGAAAGCCTAAGCTCCACTGGCCCTGAGGTCCATGACAAGGCATTCCTCATCAGGCAGAATATGGCCTGAGTCACAGCTGTCTCAGGTGTGACTTAAGCCGGGGTTAGGGGCAGCAGAAGATTCCCTTCACATGATCTCAATGTTATTTCAGCAGAATCAGAGCCCAGACAGGAAAGTGCCCCCCAACTCCTACTCTCTCTCATTCACACTGGCTCTGCCCCCCCCCCATTCCCACTCTCTGCCATTCACACTGACTCTGCCCCCCCACTCCCACTCTCTGCCATCCACACTGGTTCTGCCCCGCCCCCACTCTCTGCCATTCACACTGACTCTGCCCCCCCTACTCCTGCTCTCTGTCATTCACACTGGCTCTGGCCCCCTACTCCCGCTCTCTGCCATTCACACTGGCTCTGCCCCCCCACTCCCACTCTCTGCCATTCACACTGACTCTGCCCCCCCGACTCCCGCTCTCTGCCATTCACACCGGCTCTGTTGGTGAAACACGTGTCATGTGTCTGTTCC